TCAAACATACAATAATCAAAGTAGCCATTGGTGTAACAAGGAACCAGAGGGGGCATGCTTTTCCAACATTTTTGCAGTAAAAAACAAGCATTTTTAGGCAAAAGTGGAAAGTAATTTAATTTATCTTGCCCTTAATTGTATTATGTTATCCAGTTTCGTTATTATGTTTTCACCAATTTACTATTTAGATATGGAGAAGCGAGAAAATTTGAATTTGATCAACGAAACCAAATCATTATCCAATTTAGGAATTAAACATTGACCTGTATGAAAAAGTGATTGCGAACAGTGATTGCAAACTAATTTTATTGTACGATCTTTAGCTTAGGCTATAGATGGAGGGGTCCGAGCTAAATGACTTGTTGAGAAAGCCAAATGACAGAGTTCCGTTTTTCTTTGACTTGAACCCGGTTCACATGGTCAGTTTGCTACAAGACAAAATCTCAAAAATATTACAGGACGAGAAAATATTAGCTGTTCATGGAGAAATCCGACAGAAAAAAACATTTTGAGAAAACGAGAAACGAAGAATCGGCAGATTTTTTCTTTGAGAATATCGCCAAGAAAGCTTCAAAGTCTGATTTATCGATGATCCTGTTTGGCCGAGAGAGAGAAGAAACGCCTATTATAAAACTTTTGGTGAATATTTTGTGGTAGAGGGAAATCTAGATAAGGCAATGCATAAAAAGAAATAGATTACTCGTTGCACTAAAATCGTTGCAGCCTCTTTCCTATTTTGAGCCGAAATTAAGATTGGCAAAGCTATGGGACATATTTACTGTATTTCAATGCATACAAGTCGACTCTAAATATTTGGTTAAAAATGCTTGACTTTTAGAAGTACCAAGAGTATATGTCGACTTACAAAAATTGTTCTCTTCAATTGTGAACGCTTATTCTATAGAATAAACTTTTAAAGAAATATTCCGCTGCTCCAAGTTCAAAATTATTTCATTTACTTCACAACTTTTATCTTGAATTTCGCTTTGTGCTGTATTCATTTTTGGTAATTTGAGTTTTAGCTTATAAAAATCACGACACTCGTGAGAAAGAGATTATTCAATTCTAAAAATGCAGTTTTCACCCTCCTCTCCTATCAAAAGCTGTCAAAATCTATTTTGCATACATTTCCTGCAAATTGCATTTATGAATAAACGCAAGTTTTTTCAAAAACAAATCAAATGCGTATAAGTCGAAGTCGACTTTTCACATGTCCTAGAAACCCGGCTTTAACGCCCTAGAAACCCGGCTTTTGACGGACCTAGAAACCCGGCTTTTACGCCAGGATATAGGATAAAGAACATTTTTTGAATCATTTTGAAGAATTACCCGAATTAATTGATTTGTTTTGTTGCAAAGATTGTGGGCCATCTCGGCGTGGGAATCTTCAAGTAAAGAAATAGAAATAAAAGGGAACATGTATTGTTTTTCAATTTCTATTGGCACAAAAAAGTTACAGTTACGTCACAACCTTTATTCGCAGCTTTTATTCGCCGGTTCGCAGGGCCTACTCTCAACAATTCCTTTTAATGACGCAATCGAAACAGTGGAGGCTTCAAGCAGAAGGAAAATTTCAACAAATATGATATAATTTGGCTTGATTATTGATCGGATCAGAAGACCCAGATATCGACATGAATGACTGGAAGAGTCATCGTGCATTTTGAAGAATTTCCCAATTTTCCTGCAACATTTCCACTGATTACCATTCCTAATTCTAGAGTAAAGGCAATTTCAGCCATTGTTGATGAATTATGCAAGCACTATGGGAAAGTAGCGGTAGATTTCCAGCTAAATCAGTTTTTAATTACGAACTTCATGCTGCCTTATTTTTGTGGAAAGTGATTTACACCATGGGAGAGTTGAGGCTCCCGTTGCTTTTAGACAGATGCTACTTTGCTGACTGTGTTGTTGTATCTTTGTGGCAAAATTCCTTTTTCTTTTATTCATCATTTGGCATCTTCTAATACCTAATCGATCTGAGTTTGGTACATCGTTTAACAGAAGTTTCTTTGTGTTTAAAAATGTTGTTATCATCCTTTTGTTGTTGAATTGACATTGTAAAAAACTTATAATGGCAAAGGTAACTATTGTTTATGCAAACAGTTAGTGTGATTTAGTTCAAGCAGCTAATGAAAAGAACTGAAGCTTGTACAAAATTAAAATAAAGTCATTTTTGTTGTTATTATTTAAATTATTATATATGTCACAGTGGTTGCGAGCGAACATTACTTTTAGGCCCTTTTTCGCCCTTAGTATAGCTGCTATTTTTTGCAATAGCTATTCCATTTGTAGGGCTTCGACAGTTCCAAAAACCTGATAAATCTTTCTGAATTAGCTGCTTGTACCCCTTATCTCTTCGCCCAGGATTAAATAATGCATGTTGTTTTCTTCTTAGTTGGTGTCTAACTTCCTTCTTTATTCATGTGTTAGCAAGGCTCTACTTCTAGGATTTTCCACAAGTGATGAGTAACGTACACAGTTATTCTATCAATATCATTTCAACATCGACATATCAATGTTATAGTGCTTTAGAATAAAGTGGCGTTTGTTGGACAAAAATGTTTCTTGTTCACTGGGATCAGCCATTTTGAACAAGCCCAGGCCAATTTTTATGAAAAATCGTGCCAGAACTAAATCTGTTTCGGCCTTTGTTCATGGAAAGACAAGCTGGATGAAAAACTTTGATGGACTTCCTTTTTACTTTCATTCTTTTCTCGATTAGTTGTTAGCTTTTATTTCGCAAAATCCAAAATACTCTTGCTTTCTTTGCCCTTTTAACGTGATTCATTTTGAAGCAGATTCATCTGAAGGAAAACCAACAAAGAGATTTAGATTTAATTTCAAAAGAAAGAATATGCAGCATATATGTCCAATAGATCTTACGCCAGTTGAGGTGATACCTGTAATAACTTTATAAATATGAAGAAAAAAGCCTGGAATCAATCCCTTTTTTCTCGTTTTTGGTTGTTTAAAAAGGGACTCCTTGCTAAATCAATGCAATCGACAATTTCAGAAACTTTTTTCCAGAATCTAAGAACGTTTATACCAGTCCTTCTTGTTAATTGCAGCATCAAAAACTTCAAGCAATGAACAACACAGATATCTTATTGATATGAAATACTTTAAACATTTTTAAAGATGTATGATATGATCTGTTTTTCCTTCCTTGTGTAATCACATCACATCAAATCCTCATCAAACTTACAATTCAATAATCTATGCCGAGCTTAGGCTATCGCGAAACTCCTTAATAACTGTGTTGTCAGTAAAAAAAACACAGTTAATTTTGACAATCCAATGTTATTTGTTACATTTTTCCCTACTACTGATAACATTGTTTATTCCTAACTCTAGTCTCCTTTTCTTTTTAACTATGTTTTTGACATACTTTGGGAACCTGATTGATATGTCCGAAATTAGAAATATAGCTTTATAGTGAGGCTCAGTATGAATTTTAATGTCAAGAAATCGATGATGAAGAGCAGGTGAAAAACTAAAGCTACTATGTACACATTGCTTGATGTGACCTTTTTTATTGCAAAATATCAATGCACGTCTAAGCAGCAACTGTAGTCTGTAGATTTCATTCTGCACGCGAATATTAAAAGGAATTTCCCTGTCTATAGAAAATAAACTGTCACTTTGTCATAATAAAAACCCCCTTCAACTTATAGAAATGGATAAGCTAAGCCCTTTCAGGACAGAAACAAAATTTTTTCAGGTCTTCAAACAAAAACGCACCAGAATGCATTGCATCCACGATCTCTGGCAAGTGCCAACGCCATCCTTTGGTTTCGTTTGAGTAATGGCCTTGTTTGCATGTTGTGGGCTCACAATTTGTGGACCAATCTGTAAACATGCTGATTGGGACAAAATTCAGTTTGAAAATTTCATCAAGCAATCAGCGAAAATCTCATCAAAAAGTTGTGCAAATATTCTGGTAAAGATATTAGGAATGTTACGAAGAAATGAATATATGCTATCTTGTGAAGAATTTTTGCTGTAAAGAGAGATATATCCTAATCTTGATGATATATCCAACTCTTGATGATATTTTAAAGTCTTCATAACATTCTGTCCCTTCTTGAAATTTTGGCCCATTTAGCACCCCATACGTATGCAACATCGGTTTTACTTGATTTATATTTAGGGTTTGTAATTTAAAATGGGGGTTCTATTTCTCTAAGGAGACAACAGTAGTGCCTTTACATAGCGAAACAAAACAGGAGGTAAGTTCTATTCAACCGATACGCAAGCACTTACGTCACAGAGGTCACGTGACAACAAGTCCGACCGTGGTTTTTGTTGTGACAGATTTTAGCCCGAGTGGATGTTGGAAAACCCCAATTTTCCAAAGTAAGTCGCGAATAGAAACTTCAAGTTCATCATCGTTTCCAGTGATGGTTTTTTGATCCTTTAATTGAATAAAGATTTCCGTGGTATATTGCACTTTAAAGGATTCCAGCGAGTTAAAAACTATATTCCCCGAAAACATAATTTATTTACAATAAATCATTTTAAACATTTAGATTCTATGTTCAATTTTTGACGCTACTGACGCAAGGTTACTTTAATACACCTGCAAAAGATTCACATTTTGAAACTTTTGATGTTAGAATCAAGAAAGGGCCCAGTCATTTGACAAGGATATAATGCGTTTAGCTGCGAGACTGCTAGAGCTACATTCACATAAACATGTGCAGCTCAAAAGCAAAGATAGATGTTTTTATTTCTTCGGACAGATTGTGCTAATATTTTGACATGATGATGTGATATTTCTTTATCAGAACTTATTGCAGTTTATTCTGTTGATTTAGTTGTGGCCTAAAGGAGATTTATGGCTCATTAGGGTTTTTTTCTATCGAATATATCTAATTGCTTGATAGTGATTGTAACTTTTGCTGTCAGGCAACACAGCTGCATCGAGTTGTTGCCAGCCAATACGACAGAAGTATAATAACTGGAGAGTATAATAGCCGCAGTGTTTTTCTTCGCAGAGTCATTTCTAAAGCAGCTGAACATACTAAGCTGATCCACAACTGGAGCACAGATGCCCTTAATCAAGATGATTTGGATATTTGCTTAGGCAAGAATTGAGTTGCAAACACTAGCCGATGCACTGACTCAGAATCAGAGATGGCGCATTTGGTGTTCAACGACTCTTCACTTTTAGCTTCAATTGGAAGATCCAACGAGAGCCGGTCTGTCATAACTAAACAAATTAACGGGGAAGATATTGATCTCAATTTATCTACAGCATCAATTTCAATTGTGGCTTGCTTTCTATGTGTTGTGATTGTCTTAACTGTACTTGGGAATAGCGCTGCTCTAATTGCATTTTCTATATACAGACCGCTGCGGACTGTTACCAACTACTTCTTAATCAATTTATGCATTTCTGATATAACTGTTGCAACAATCTGCATGCCTTTTTGGATCTCATACATCTTGACTGGTTGGCCCAGTGCCTTAAATGGCGGCGTCTATGAATTTTGGATGTGTCTTGATATATTCTGTGGCACTTGGTCTATCATGAGTCTTGCAATGATCAGCATTGAGAGATACACTTGTGTTGGCTTCCCTCTCTACTACCAGAGTCTTGTGACAAAAAAAAGGACTTTGATCATGGTTGCTTTCGTGCTTTTTTACAGCACGATTTCATCTCTCCTTGGCTATGCCCAATTCGTTTCTCAGACCCCAAAATTATCAATATCAATTTTTACCCTATCTTTTGTTGTACCCGTCATCATCAAGTCCTATACATATGGTAAGATCTACAAAGAAGCAAAAAAACAGCAAAAGTTTATCAATCAAGAAGAGAAAGACAGAGTCAGACTTTTAGCACAAAAGCATCTGTTTTCTGCTGGAAGAAGTTTGGATGAAAAGCCTGCTTCCATACAAGGTGACCGGTTTAATGACACTATATAAAAATAGTCTTAATCTTTGTCAACATTATTTTTCAACTATAGTAAACTTTTGCGAGAGGAGCTTTTCGTTATGACATAATAACATCAATATAGAGTTGACATACAATACATCGTCAGCTGCAAACAGTTTTTGTTAAAAAATTCAACATTTTTCTTGCAAAGTGTTCAACCATAGCCGATAAGACTTCCCTTTTAGCTCTAAATATTGTTAAAATAATTGCTCTTTTCTGTTTGGCAAAAATCTAACAACCAATTGTTTATCTATGATACCTCATATCTTAATCTAATATGGCATCTTGTTCTACCAGATACGAAAATGCAGTGTGAGCTTAAGGCTAGCAGCCATGAAGTCACCACAAAGCAAGCTGAAAGTATATCTGCAGTTATCCAGCAACCAGACAAAATGTCCATTGACCATAAAGTACAGAAGACAGAAAGCTGCAGATTAAGAGTACTTACTTGCTACAACCCATCTCAGCATCAAGTTAATTCTACAATTACATATGTAAAACAAGACAATATGATCCAAAAAGGTAATATTTATAAAAAATACAACAAATACGCTTTGTTGGTATGTAAAAGAAGACGGTCGTTAGGTGCTACTCCAAATTTCATGCTTAATGCGATCAATCAGACTATTTCTATACAAAACCTAGCGCTCTGCAACTGAACTTTTAGATATAGCAAATAAACTGGTTGATATAGCATTGGTTACAGAAACGTAAATTGCTAGATATTTTGTAATTGTGTACTAAAATTTTGTTAATCTTTAATTTCAAAGCCTTTACATTTTACCATTTTGTCGTGTCATTTCTGTATTGAAAGATTTCTTGGCATTAGTGCTACGTAACTCCTTTCAAGGACGTAATGACCATTGCAAAAACGACTTTCCGATTGATCTTAAATTTTGTCGGCTGTGACACTCATCCTTCCCCTCCCCCCACGTCAAAGTATTTACGTGCCTGGTATGATAGGGAAAATACTTGCACTCCCGAGAATTGAAATTTTCTCAATGCTGCACAAGAAGTTCAGTATATATGATAAAAAATTCGACAGGAATTGAAATGAAGTGTATAAGTATTCACTTTCAGATAATTTTGTCTTCGTAAATGCTCGTTATTTCTTTTAATGGCGAACATTGTGAAATGATATCATCTTTGTTAGGTATTAATAAAAATGACAGTTTACAGGTAAGTCATAAAGTGCTCAATACCGTATGGACAACAGCTTGCCCCCTCTGGCTACAGTTTTTCCAAATAATATTTTGAAAATTTGGCATATTTATAATTCCATGACCTTGACTTTATCCAAATATATCTGTTTGTTATATATCTGGTTTCTTGTTTTAAGCCTGCCCCCCTGAGATATGATTCTTGCTAGAGTTTGCCCCCCCCCCCCTAGCCGACACCTACAGCTACGTGGTTGATGCAGGATAATACGAAGTAACCTCTTGCCATAAGCAGGTGCTTCTTATTCTCAATCATACGAGCACTGAATGCTACAACTTATATATGCTTCCATTTTCAATTTAGCATACATATTTTTGAGAAGAGATCAATTTAAATAAAAAATATGAATTATTTGCTCAATATGAAATCCTGCATAACATTTTTTTGCACTTTGTCAGGAAAACTAAACTGCTGTTGTCGAAGGAAAAGACTAGATAATCAGTCCCCAACATCAAAGCCTTTGTCATCTGGTGACACAGATATTACATACGAGTATTCGGGCCTTCAGCTAGGCGAGAAATGCTGCTCAGAGTCGGTTGATGATCTGAGAAAGCTCGGCATTGATGACTGGAATGCATACTTAGATGGATTAGAGGGCCTACCGGCAGCAGTGGTGGAGGAAGCAACAGAAAGCCAGGAAAATTCCAAGGTATGCTATAATTCTTACCCAATTTGGTGATGTACGATTGAATTGACTGCAGCAAAAAGAAAAGCAAGTATTATGCCTTGCTTAATGATTCTGCACACTATTCTTTGTAATAATAACTTCAAACAACACTGAAAAACGCGTTGTGGTTCCTACTACAATCTCTAGAGGTACTTAGTGTTTTTGTCTGCATGAGTTGAAATCACAGTGCAAACATTCCATCAGTTTAAAATTACGAAGATACGACCTCTGAAGTGTGGAAAAAATTTCTCACACAGATAAACACACTCGATAACACTTAAGGTTATATGCATCTCATCTAAACATTGGAAACATGTTGTTTTCAAAATTTTTCCTCGAGTAAAAACAAAGAATATATTTCGCTTTAGATGATTCAACTTTCGAAAGGAAAGCTTCAACATTGGATGATTTTATTATGATCCATTTAGGGGCTTTTTGTTGTAGTATCATTAAACTTAGCTGCTAGAAAAATACATTCATTTCTAATCATTTTGGTTTTTTATGCAAACAGAGCCCGTCAAAGGAAAAAGTGTATGGTGATTGTCAAAGCAAAGCCTTTGATTCCTCGAGCAGCAAAAAGGTGATACTTCCAATTGACAGTTGTAATCCATCAATGTTAGAACAAGACACCAAACCAAGCAGTGAACGCACAAAGTCTCAACAGACAACCTTCGTCGATCCTCTGCCAAAGTTGAAAAGGAAACAGCAATCTTCGAGATTTCTACGTGCTCGATCTGTAAAATTCTTCAAGTCTGAGAGTATTATTGAAATGAAACAACAAGGACTGTGTCGTTTTAAACGCTTACAAAGAGAAGTTAAAGCATCCAAAGTGATTGGACGGATAATAGGCACGTTTCTTCTGCTTTGGACTCCGTTTATGGTGGTTGTTGTTATGACCAGTCTAGATATCAAGGTGTCCATGAAAACAGTCATAACGACCAAGTGTCTGCATTATGCCAATAGCGCCATCAACCCTATACTCTACGTTGTTTTCAACAAGAACTTTAAAAAGGCTTTGAGTCGGCTGCTACGCATGATGTGCTAGACTGGCAGCTTTTTATCACATTGCCAGGTCAGTGACCCAGTAAACGACTTACTGGCAAAACCAGATGCTTTCGTTTAGAAATGTAATGTTTCGTTGAAGAAAGTCCTTAATGGATTATCTAAGAAATCTGAAACTTCATCATTTATTTGCCAATCCTGATGCTTTCTTGCTTACAAAAGATGTAGTAAACATTTGATCTTTCTAAGCTTGATGAATCTTTGAATCTTTCTGGGTGACAAATTAATCTAAAGGCTGCATACACTAGAAAAGCTATCAGCAAAAATGTTTAACATCTCCATCTTAGCAAGTTTCGACTAAAGCTATGGCAAAGACCAACCAACAAAGATACAGTAGAGTGGAAGAAAAAACTTTGTACTACATAAAGCAACAGACTAATGTAACATCTTCTAACAATATTTTACAGTATTAATATTGTACAATATTGTACAATGCTTAACAAGTTTATTTGAGTTTATTTCCACTTATTCATTAAGTCAGCTTTATTGAATTTAATGCATCTTCGACACAGTGTTGACAAGGAAACGTGCCCTTGCAATGAAATTCCCAAGATTTGAATTATAGAGAAGCTTCGGCCCATTTGCTCATTTTCTGGTGCACTGCCCAACTTAAATTACCCTTAACCTCCTCCCCCAATCAAAGCTAAGTGCATAGTATCAAAGTCGTATGACTTTTTACAGAAAATGATTTTAAATCAGTACATTTATTTACTATTCTGTTATTTAATAGATAACGGTAATTGAGAGCCGGTCCCATAAGGTTCCATCCATTATTGTTTGTAGTAAAAGTAGAATTACTAACCTTGTCAAAATGTTTCTCAGTTTTTGTACATGAAAAAGCAAAACTAGAAACTGAAGTCCATTTGATTGTTAATAAGATAATTTGAGACTCACTTAGATAACTAAGACAACAAACCATATCTCCCCTCTTTTGAAAAACTCCGGCTGTAATGTCTGTGTGACAAAAAGACTCTACGAATGCCTGGAAGAAGCAAAGAAGCAAGGAGGCAAATTTTCCTCGTACTTTGTAAGAGAACCAAAATGCTTTTCCCTTCTTCAATAGCAGTTTCAATTGACAATGAGGTATTAATGTTTGAAGATACTCGTGGTTTATAATCATCAGTATTTGTAATTTGACACAAAATTTTGCTTTTCTGTGCACTCATTGCTGTTTGCAGAGCGACACTCTATTCTTACATCTGGGCAATTAATTAAGTTTCACGTGAATTGTAGCCGTGTCTTTGGGCTTCACGTGGTGGAGGCATAAAACAAGAGCGTTGTTTTAAATCCAATAAACCTACTTTCTCCGAAAGCGTAACATTTATCTAATGCAATGTTTTCTGCATGACATTTTTTTTTCGTCTTCTTAGTTATGAATCAAATCCATCGTGCTTGCGAATTTGTTAAAGGTTGTACATATAACGTTTAAAATAATGTAAAGCATGGAATAATGTTTAAAGGTGTAAAATAATGTAACAAGTAGTATCCTAGAGTAGAAATTAAGACTTTGAGCAGTTGTATAGGTGATATCATATCTTAACGTTATTTCATATTGTCTAGTGATTTATTTTCTTAAATTATTGTTGAAAGACTGGCTACCGATCCAAGGTAACAGTTTTAGCAGGGTCTGGGATTTTGACGTCAGCCTTTGCAATTTTTCACCAAAATGTAGACACTTAGTTCTTACACTTGAATGTTGTGTAAAAACATCGATACCTTTAAAGGGAAACGAATCAAATCAAAATCTGCTAATCTGCAAATAGGCCTTCACGTTTCATGAAATTTTTTTAACGGGTGGAATGAGAATTATTTGAGAGAAGACTATTCAAAAGTTGACATATTACTAACCTTTGGAGGAGAATGGCTCCTTAAAACCTACAGGTCAATTTTACAGTATCTTGAAGGTGTGTGTAGAACCTATATTGAAAAGCAGCTTTTCACAATAAAACAGAAAAATATTCTGTGGAGAATGGCTGTAATTATGTTGATGATTCAATTTTGCTCCTTAGGGGGGTTTGTTTGGGGGATATTGTTCCAGGACTTTGATGCGCAACAGTTTACTAACAGACTCTCACCGGATTCAAACATATTTTGATGTAACGAAAAAAATCACTCTTTGATGCCTGTCTTGCTTCATGTTGATCAACGTATTTCAAGACTTGGAAGAGATTTTGAAAGAGAGAAGGATAAAGCCTTTCAGCAGATTCATAGACTTACAAGTAAAAAGCTGACTTGTAAGATCGTTTATGTAGAGAGAAAAGAGCCGAGAAAAAGCTTTGTGGTACACCACAACTAACAATCCAATGAGTTGAGTTGTGTTATATATATTTTTGAAATGAAACCGCTGGTTTGCAAAATTTGCTCGAACTTTTGAAAGTAGAAGAAAACAATTCTCATAATGGATCAAAAACATCTTTGCTTCTACAAAGAAAATTTGCATAATCAAGAGACTTATTTTATACACCTTAGAAGTTTGCATCTATATTGAAAGACGACTTTCCTTGAATTGCTCTTTCACAATTCAGTAGAAAGCGGACCAGGTGTAGAAATTCTTTTTGACACAAAAATTGAAACTTGTTCACTTTTTCAAAAGTTTCAAACATCAAAAAAATATAACTCACAGAGCAAAACGGATTTCGGATTTGAGGTCAGCAATGTAAAAAATGCCTGAGTCAAGTTGAGAACTTTGTGAAATAGAAGAGCTTTGATCAAGTTTTATTTTTGTCAACTTCAGTTGTATACTCCAGCCTTCTTAGAAGAATAGTGGTAGAGCATCTCCGTTGAAATTGACTAAAAAAATCTAGGTGACAAATTAATTATCATTCCGTTATGTTTACGAATGTAAGAAAAAGAATTTTCTTCAAAGCCACAGACAGAAGCATTCTAAGCACTAAATCAGAGAACAGTAAAGCTCCAGCGGCGTTTCAGCAGATGACTGCAACGAAGGCTTTGTTAATTCTTGTCACCATGCAGTTGCACTAGTGTTTTCTGCCATACTACAGCTAATCAAAACAATGTTTAGCCGGGCGATGAGCGGCTCATGTCAATTATCTTACATTGATAGGAAGAGGTAACGAATTCTGTTGGGACTGATGCATTTGTTGTTTGCTTGAACAATTAGAAACATTAAAAAATTAGTTTTAATCAATTTTACTTGCTTCTTAAGTTTAAGAAATTTTCAGATGAAAACTTCTACTTACCTTTCTTCTGGGTGCTTAAAACTTTCATTGTTATATTTTTTTCTGAGGACTGTTAAGTAGACCATAGCTTATTGCCATTAATGAGTGTATAATTTGTTTATTATAAATGAGTCACTGGTAGCTGCTACATGTAAGAGCCTTATCAGTATCTGCTTATGTACAGCAACATATACTTTAGCGATCAATCAAACATGCCAAACATGTTTGTTGTTTTATGTGTGATGTCAACAAAGTTTGTTTATGATGTTTGTCAGGTGCAAGACGCAATGGTACATAGCCTTTTTCAAGAAGAAATACGCTAGGGGCATGAAACATATTTCTTCATAAAATAAAAAATCACTTGGGCTTGAGGGGCGATTGCTTTCTTAGGTGGTGGGGAAATTATTTTAAGGTGATTTTAGATGATGACATACAGCTTAAAGATAAAGTAAATAAATATCGATTTAAGATTATTCTCTTTTTTGCTTTTGAATTTCCCTTGTAAGTTCCAGCAAACATCCTCAACAAAAAGTTATGTTACTATTTCTTTTGTGGATATTTGCACTATAAACGTGGCAACAGTATATTTTGATGTTTTATATGTCTTTTGCTTTGGTTAAAAAAAAGCGATCGAGATTTGGAAAGTAGCCATTGCGTGTTAGAATACAGTATTTTTATGCAATTATGTTTTTATGATTGACGAGAAAAAATGACAAATTTTTAGTAACGAATTGTTACATAAACCCTCTTTTTAATGAAAAAATTCAGATTTATCAACTACATTCAAAACGGATCGCGTCAGAGAGAATAGAATTCACATTTTATTTTATATTCCAATCCACATGCTTAAATCGTATTCCCTGTTATCACGCCAGAATCTGTATGGTACGCAGTGTCGTGCTAGCAGGGGAGGCAAGGGGGCAATTGCCCCTGCTGATCAAATATCAGGGGCGCCAAAATGAACTTTCACCATATTAGCGCCCTAGCAAAAAAGCTACCCTGGGTACCAGACTCACTATATAAAATAATAGAGAGTCTGGTCTAGTGCGCCCCATTCTCGTTCTGGTGAACCTACTTGAAAGAACTGAAGTCTATTTAACAGACTAGGCCTGTGAAACAAGACTGTCAGAAAAATAATAAAGAAACTCAGTAGTCAGAGGAGTTTTGGGAAATCTTAAAGCAAATGTGTTTTATTTAGTTATTTAAAGTCGACATTTTTAATACAGTGGTAATAGACTTTTCTGCCTCAAGATAACAATCAGGTTTAAAACGCCATTTGGCAGCAAAAAACATGTGCGAAGCATGAAATTAAAGTTAGCACAATGCAGTTATTAAGTGTTAATCATTATCAAATTGTTAATCATAGTCTTTTGTAATTTTCCTCATAAATTGTGTGTACTTTCAACGTCTACTTCCTAACTGTGAAGGCAGCGCGCTTGGACACCGCGGCGGTTAGAATCATCACGTTGGAAGGTCACCACAGCAAATATGGGCAATATGACAAGCGAAGCCCCGTTTGCCAGGCGAAATATTAGCTATAACTGATTTACTGTGTTTGTTGTTGTTTGTTCTCGGCGCCTTGCGGTGTTTCTTATCTACTGCATTTCACTACAAGGCCTAATTTCTTTGCAACGAGGGGCACAGCCTGGAATATCAGAGACTTTCCAAAGCCAGTTGGCAATATGGCGAAGGTGTCTCTTCTCTCTACAAACAAGGCTTTCAATGCTGTTCTGTGTTCAGTTCCACAACATACGGAAAATATTCTTTGAGTACAGTTTTAACAGCATCTTCAAACTCAATCGTTACGGTCGCTAGCATTTATTTATGTTCTGTTCTGTTCAATGTTTTAAACCAGAGCTAGGTTTATTGTTTCGCTGTGACCTTTGAACGTACAGAAATCTGTACACTCGCTCCTGATTGGTTAATATCAGCACACCAGAACGAGAATGGGGCGCACTAGACCAGACTCTCTATTTTATTTCATATATAGTGAGTCTGGTACCCAGGGTACAAAAAAGCTAGCAAACGAGGAAAATTTACATAGAAGAACCTGACAATACCAATGGCGGAGACTGTATAACAATCCACGATGAATCTAACAGCGAAACTGCTAGGGGGTATGGGGAGTGATGCACCCCCCAATCTTCAAAAAAGCAGATTTTTTCCGGCAAATTTATGGCTGCCAGTATATCGGTCGGGCAAATCTGGAAATTGTGTTTAGGTCACACATTTATTGCTACTTTTTGCCCCATCTTGATTTTTGAATTTATGGTCTTTCCCCCCATCTTTTTCAGTCTCCGCCCAGTTGGGAAAACAAAGCAGAAACGAGGCATGCAAAACAATAGAGCTTTTTCCTAAATCTTTTGTTATCAATGCTAAATTTTTCCCTTTGATGAACACGATCATTTTTGGAACATAATAAATCAAAGCATTAAGGACAGGAGGTTGTCTAGAAAAATCAAGCACCACTTTCTTTTCCAAATGTATGAAACTTTTATCATCCGTTCATAAGAAGTTATGCCCCAAAATTCTGTTTATACGGTCCACAAGCATTGCACCCTTTGCCAGAAATAGCCGTTTTTTAACTAAAGAAAATTCAAATAGCTGTCACAAGTTACAGAAAAGTTTTAGCTCACAGTTCAAGCAGAAAATAACAGAAAATTTATCAAGTAATTGTAATTAAGATAAGAATAGTAAAAAAATTCGAGTTACTTCTATTTCTGAACAATATCCATGATGAAGAAACACGAAAATTGAGCTTTGACGATAGATGAACCTGTAAAATTTATCCAATAAAAAAGGTTTTTCTTTGCACAAACCTGAGGGATTTTGTTATGATGAATTCAGAGATACTTGCTTCGTGCTTGGGTATCTAAAAATGTTTAAATTCCTTACGGAGCAACCGAAAGTTGAGAAACAAGCTCAGAAAATAAAACTGGAGCTCTTTTGTGGGACAACTATTTTTGTTAAAACATTGTAGTCTGTGTAGCTGTTTCTAAATTCTAAAATTTCCAAGCTGCGTTTTGTTTTTCCACTGTGATAAAATTGGAACCTTACATCAATTTCTTTTTTAAATTGCTCTCTTTATAGCTAGGAGATTTTGAAAGTGAAGACTATTTTTTTTATAGAAAAGACAGGTCTATAAATCCTTGCTTTTCGGGAACAAATGTTTATAGCCAACACCAGAAAAACTAGAGGCATATATTTTTGACTTTGAAAAACAGCCTGAGTTTGAAGGCCAAACATACTTAGTGACCCTCTGTCGGGGTCCCTAGAGGCAATGATTTCAACCCTTGAGGCAATGTGCCCTAAAAATGAGGTTCATGCATGACACGCCTTTTCATCAAGCATGGCACGCCCTTTCGTCGGGCATCTAACTTCATACCCCCCTAATGAAAATATTGAAGTTTTGCCCCCGGATAAATCGCTTTGAAGAAAACAAAAAATCTCCTTTTACCCTGGGTATCAGAGCCACATAAATTCGAGAGCAGAAGATTAAGAGTGTAGAAGCGGAGGAGTGTCTATCTAAGAAGAAGCTTCTTCTCAGCTAGACGCTCCACCGCTTTTCTGTTTGGCATCCTGCTTACGCGCTCGTCTCGCTTCTTTTTTTTAAAAAATTTGATGCGCTTAACAACGATCTTCAAACACCATCTGAAGATCTCACGCTAAATCTAAATGATGCTTGCATAAAGTAGTTAACAGGGGTGTACCGAGGTAGGGGGTGCAGGGTTGCTTGCTTTGAAGAACCCATCGATAATTTTGGGCTTGGCGGGTTAAAGTTCGGATTAGACACCATTTCATAAAATTATTTGAAAGGTGCAAGGAGTTTTGATTTACTGAAATGATAAGAAATGCTAGGAGGAAGATGCTGAGAGATTGTGTCCCTATCTGAAGAAAATTATGTTGCATAAGCTTAAATATCAAACAACAACACCAGAAAGTTGGTTAAAACTATGGAATAGATTACAGCCTGAGAACATCTAATTCATAGAAAGCTTACGTTATTGAAAATTGCTTCAAAAAGTTTATTTTCCAGCAAACTGGAAGCTTCAAAATTCGAAAGTTTTCTTTTCCTTCGGTGGCAACCTTGGTGCCACCTCAAACAGTGTTGTTAAATTCTGGGCACTAAAGGTTTGGGAGGTATAAGTCAACACAATGTATCTAGAATGAGCCTGGTACCCGGGGTAGATAGATAACTGAGGAGCGCCATTTTATTCATTTAACTCCCCCCCCCCCCTGCGATCTCATAACCAGCACGCCACTGATGGTACGCTGTTTACATACTAAGGTTTGGTTTCAGAAGAGCTAGAATATCTAATCCTAGATAAATAAAGACCCTGAATTTGAACTTTCTGGCATAAAAAATTGATAGTACTGCAGTGTAAGTCAAGGGCATTGCAAAATTTCATGTCAACTCAGACAAAAATCTGTTTCATCCATGCATATTTCATATTATGCATCATTTGAAAACGAAAAAACCTTCAATATTCTCATAGGATGTTGAATAATATATACAACATATTTTTCAACAGCTACATTAAGACCACTTCATGTTTGTGCATGACGAAGACATATGCAATGATCCGAACGACACAACCGTCTGTGCAAGCGATATTGACGCAAAAGATTGCAGGGCCGTAAATCTCCCATGTCAATTGGGGGGAGGGGGTCAGCAGAGTGAATGAATATAAAGTGTGCAGTGGGTCATGGCACCACAAAGCAATTTATAGTATGGGTTATGGAAACAGTTTGAGGGGCAAACAACTCAAAAAAGCAACAACAAAAAAGATTTTTGATTTAGTAAGGTTTTTTCTATATAAGGTATTTACAGACATTTCTTAGCACGTTGACTTTTTATAATTGAGTTGATAACATTTTTCAGAGACAACTTGAAGAAATTAAAACTGGGAGTTGAGAATCACGTTTAATGACGTAGGAGAAACCACCATGGCTGGGGCCGACGCGAAAGAAAAGTTTTGAAATCATACCTTCTAAATGAGTAAAATAGCATCTCCCAGACCAAGCTTATCAAAATACTATACCGTTTAGAAAGTGCATTATCTTTAATATACAAAAGCAAGATGAGCAGCACTAACTTTTCATAAAGGATAATAAATTTCAGGTTTTGGAATGATCGCCTTGCTGTTCTTGAAAAAAATTGAATCAAATCGTCATCATTTTGGCTCATCATCCAAACGAATTTGGTTTCAATATTAAAATTATTTATCTAAAGAGAGCTCTCTTCAGTTTTCACCAGCAGAGTACTCCTTTCTTCAGAATAAAGGGGGCAGACAATTACAAATTGAAATTTGTCTTCTATAGCGTGAATGGAGATAGAATCGCGGACATAGAATCGCGATATCTGTAGATTCTTTTCTCTTTGGAGGTAGGTAGGCGTTTTGCCATACAGCTGATGAGATAAGTCTCGTTTCGGTTCAGAAACAATATGGCTTCCGCGATTCGAAAGACTCGATAGTGGTCTGCTTGAAGAAATGCTAATGGCACTGGGGAAAGAGGCTCACTTTTCAATACTTTATAATCTTGTTTAAATAATATTAAAGTTTTTCTTTTTAAACGTCAGTGATGTCTTCAGATGACTCTGTCTCCCTGACAGAACATTCTTTCGTAAAAACCGAAGTATTCGTGTTCAAATTTCGCCAGCACGGGAAAGACCATGTCCTCAATGTTCCAGTCCAAATACCATTGGAAACTACTGTGAAAGAACTTGCTTATAGGATTATCAACTGTCACTCAATAAGCTGTTACGTTGAGGATGGTAAGAATAGATAGGCCTATTCGCTTTTCGTTTTCAGCCATTACATGATGAATATTCATGTTCGTTCAGTTCAGTTCAGTTCATTTCATTTTTAAAATCCGTACATACAGATCTTTTAAAATACAGCAACAGGTTACAAAAGATAAAATAAATTACATACAATGAGAGAAATAGAGAACAAGGAAAAAATATAGATAATTTTACAAAAAAACGAGATTGAGATTTGCATGCAGGAATTTCTTAAAGGTGGAACTCTCACAATAGATAGACTAATCGAGAAGAGAGCACCCCCTGTGGTAAAAATCTATAAATTTAATATTTACACCACAGGCTGCCTAGGAGGGAGCCATAGGGCCAACGAGAACAACTGCCACACAGCTGCTCCCTCTGAAAAGAGAATAGCAAAGACTGCCAGACAGCCATCCCCATCCACCCCACACCCCCACACAAAGCCTATAGTGACATATTCATAGTCTATTGTATTGTACAAAATATTCTATTGTTGGTATTTGGTGGAAAATAGATGCAATTTTAGTTTCTGGTGAAAATTTGTCAATGTAGCAGATTGTTTGATGACACAGGGGATGTTGTTCCAGGACTTGGCACCTGCATATCTAACTGATCTTAAACCATATTGCAGGGTGTTTTCTTGAGTCATAAGAATATCACCTTTGGAGGCTTGTTGTGTATCATAATGATTAGGGATGTACCGGATATCTGGTAGGCCGGATTATCCGGCCCCGGATAATCCGGCGCCAGATCGCTGATTTTTTGAAAATCCGGTTCCGGCTGGATTTGTTTCCGAAATTCGGCCAGTTGCCAGATTTTCCAGAATTTTAATCATAACTAAGAACATTTGCAAAAACAAAGTCAGACTCTCTTCATACTGTGATTAAAAATGGATTTTCCAGAACCAAACAAGATCAACGATAAAACAAGCGCCTTGAAAACAGATTTGAAATGATAGTGCTCGTCATCACGAAACAGGAAGACACGAATTTGGTCCAGGGTTGCCAGATTGGCTTTTTCGGCCAAATTTTTCATTTTTGGTTTTTAGATTTAGATTGCCTGGAAAAATTGTTTTTTACTTACCCTGTTGGCCTTTTCAGCAGAACGTCTAAAATTAATGAGTAATAACTACATTCATGGAATAATTAGTAGTTAACTACAAAGTGTTAACCAAATTTCAAATTTCATCACCTAACCTAAATATTATCTTGATATTAGCAAAGGGTTTTGGAAAAAAGTAAGATTCTTATCTAAGTTAAGAAATTATCTAACAGGCACAAGCGTAGAAATATAACCAGTGCCTGCTCGATGGCTTCCTGAGAGAGTTTTTGATTTGGCCTTTTTATGAGCATTTTGGCTTAAATTGCTCACCAGTCTAGCCTTTGTTTGTAAATTCAATCTGGTAACCCTGAATAGGTCTCTTTGATCTTCTCGCTATGCATTTTTTCGCAAAGTGGTTCAAAACTTTTTATTACTGAAAAATCCATAAATGGTCAGATTATCCGGTAAAATCTGGCCGGATATTCTACGAAGAAATCCGGTAAATCCGGTTCCGGCCGGATTCTGAAAATCCTGATCCGGTACACCCCTAATAATGATGAACAGATGTCAAAATTGCAAAAAATATTAATATTCTTTGCATGAATATTAAAAGAGGAAAATCTTTTTTGGAAAGTTCAACAGACTCATCAAAAGAATTCGATCAGCCTTATCACTGTCATAGATTCTCATCATATTCAAAAGTATTATGCATCCAGTGCAATGAATCATTTAATATTAGTTCCATTTAACTTCTGGTGCAACCATTTTTCAACAGAATTGTACTAAGAAAGAATGTTCACATAAGAACCATCTATTAACTTTATTAGATAGGAACATTTTCAGACGGAAAAGTAACATTGAAGGTTCTTACAGGTGACTATTTTCACCAGCTTCTAGAAATCTAGAAGCTAATTACTATACAGTAAATCCCCGCATATAAGAACCTACTTTTTTGAGGTTCAGGCTGAAGTAGGTTCTTATTGGCAAGGTACTTGGATTAATTTCAGGGTTTGAAGGTTCTTATTCAAAGGATCCCTTATTTCAAATTTTAGGATTCATTATCAAAGGATGCATTCAACCCTGTTTTTTCCTTTTGGCAATGTTATTAATGCAACATTACAAAGATAAAGATATATAAAAAATCTGGGAGTAAAAATGGACCATTGAAAACTCTATTTTTTGCCCTTGGGAAAAGAACCTATTATATTTTATCACACTGTAACAGGTTCTTAATTACAAGGTGCATAATTTAGGAAAAACAGCCTCTAGGTTCTTATTTTTGTAGGTTCTTATATGCGGGGATTTACTGTATATCTCCAGCTTCTAGAAATGTCCCAATGAGATTCATGACCAAACTTTAATCTAGAGAAGGGCCTATGCCACAGGTGGGTCAGTGGGCCATGGCCTCCCCATTTTTCACTAAATATGATATTAAAATTGGCATTAAACATTCCTTTTCATAAGTCTTTAGATAACAACAAAATTCTTTGAACCAAAGTTTACAAGTAAAGCGGCATCAGCAAAATTATTGCCACAATTAGGGCAGGGGGGTGATTTTTTTACTTTGGTGGCCCCTTCGGTTAGGATCAGTGGTCCAGGCCCTGTAGAGTGGGAAGAGATGCCAGCTATCTGTAATTCCAGGTATACGAATCAAAAGATGTGGTCACATTGAGAGAAGGAACCAGGACACTGCTGGATAAGCAAAGCTTCACAGTGTCCTGAAAACTACCTTCAGATGCTAAAGCTAAGTTATAAACAGTACCCAAAGTGTTTGTAATTTCTACAAAACCGTATGATCCTGCTATAAGCATCAGTGATTTTTGGGACTGCAGGGCCTGGGGACAAAGGCATTAGTGGGGCCCTTGCTCTTTATAATCCCCATCTTTTTTCTTAGGTGTGGGGCCCCTTTTGGCTACCTAGAAGCCTGGGGTCTGAGGCCATTGCCCCCTGGATCCCTCTTGAAACTGCCACTGGCTATAAGGTACTTTTGTGTAAGGTAATACAAAATGTAAACAAGTGGTAATGGTGATCTTTAACGAACTCCAAGAAAGATTAAACCAAATATAAACATTCAGTGCTTCATTTATGTATTGTATGTACATCACAAGGGTCATTTAGGCGTTATTGCTGAATGGTCACAAAATGTTGTTCCAAACCTTTTTTAAAATTGCTTTTACTAGCCAGGGGATGAACCAAGGGCTTTGTGATCCATCTAATTCCAATACTAAGTACCTATAGTATTCCTAAAATTCAAGGTGCAATTGATCTTATATTGCATTTTTCGGTTAAGCTTACCTATGTTCCTCTATTCGATATACATATACCAGCTTTAAAACATCTATGTTACTTGCATGGGTCACAAAAGGTGACTGGAAATGTGTTAATTGATGAAAAATTGATTCCTCACAATACTGTTTTGCGCGAGTGATCAAACACTGGCATAATTGGGTTTGGGCATGTGCTGATCAAACAATCCTGAGTGGTCGCTTGCATCAAACAAAAAGTCCTGCCTATTTTATGTATTGAACCACCTCAAGGGACGGAAAATGACACATGAATTATCAAAATTTATTGTTATTCAAATTCTTCCTGTTTTTGAGAGGCAAATAGGATTTGATTGGAAGGAAAATGACCACCAATCAAAGCTTCAGTCTAAAAATAGAGTTTTTGTTCAAAATTTACAGGTAGCAAATATCATATAATGGTTACAAATTTTGATATTTTGACAGGTAATTGCGGACCTTTGAAGCCACTTTCAGCCTTCTTGAAAGGGTCTCATATATTTGGGCAACGTATTCTTGTTAATATAGAGACACATCTGAACAACTCCCCAGTTAATGATTCTCTTGTTTTTGGAGATCCATTTGGATCGTTGTTTATAATGTTTTTTATATGAGGGCAAACATTTTCAGTGAGATTCAAATCTGGACTTGATGGTAGGCATAGAAAAACTTTAACTCTTCTTGTTTGGCACTAAATCTTACTTAAAGTGGTTTTTTTAAAGATAACTTTACATTTTGTATTTTTGTAGAACACTCTTTAAAATTTGCCTGGAAAAATTTGAGCTGCAAAACCTTGCTCTAGTATTGTGTCTTTCTGTTCCTTAGCATAAATGTCGTGAAATGCAAAAGACAAATTTATCCCTGCCACCATCAATTTGTGACTCGCCTTTCATTTGACAATTTTTCCCCTTGAGGCATGGTCTATATTTCCACAAAGAAAATGGTCTATTTTTCTAAGGCATGGTCTATACTTTTCTATATTTCAAACTTTTTTATTATTAATATATATTTTTAACTATGTCTCCAATTGTGTCTTCAAAATTTTCTTTTTCAAAGTTTGCTACTAAGTATGCTTATTTCAATGTTTGATGTTATTGTAAAGTTGACAAAAAGTGTCTCTATTTAGAACAAGGTGGTGCAATAATTTTGACAGGGTTTTGAGAATGAGTGGCCTCTTTTTTCTCTAGTCATTTAAAACAAACTACTTATAACAACAAGTGAATTAACTACGTGCCATCCAGGGAAAAGGCCTATTGTCAGCGAGTTCCCACTATGTATGGCACTTACAATTTAATTTGAATGATTCCAAAAGTAACTGTTAGAGAGAGACAGCCCAGGAGCAAACAATTCATTGCCATTATGTTTTGTAGCAAAAGTTGATGAGCAATATAATTCAGCAATGTTCAGCTATTGGCAATATATGTTTGCTTCCATTCTGATAACTATGAAATGGATTGACTTCTCATGAGCTGGTGCTACTTGTGGAAGCAAACATTCAATGATTTGTCTTCTTAAGAAATGTGAGTAAAAGAAACAGACATAGACCCAGTCAAATAAACGTGATTAGGGGGTCTTCAAAAATCCTTTAAAATAATGCTGAACCACAGTTTTATACTAAATTAATTAGGTGTCAAAGTAAACAATTCAACTTGAATCTCAGATATTTTGGAAGTGTACTTGCATATTTAAAATTTACATATTTATACTCATTGGTGCTGTTCTTATATGCCCAAGATTTTGGTTAAGCTGGATATATTGAGCTGGATGGTTTTGTCCAACTCTCTAGGAAATGCTGTTTCTCAGTCATTTTTAGAGAGTGGCGAAATGGAGAATGGCTGTTGCGAAAGCCCCTATGTAGCCTTTCTTCCAGAAAAGGCTGACTTGCAAAGTCATGATAAAAAATTTCTAGTTTTTCTTTGATATAGCAAGTCTGAGGAGCTAAAGCAATCTTATTAACTTGTTAGAACAACGTAAGAAAACAAAATATGCTTTCAACATGACTGTAACCATTCAAAGTTTTTGGAAAAAAGCTGGGCATTGCGGTCATTGAAAATTCATATTCAGTTCGAAGGTAGATAGTCATAGTTAAGCCTAAAAGTCCATTTTTGCAGTTTGGGCATATTCCTTTACAATGCTTAGCTAACTCTTTTATTCTGCATGATTGTGTTCTGTATGAAATAATGGCAATATTTAACGACCTATGTGAATCTTTTTACTTTTAAGATCTTGAACTTGCACTGGAAAGGTTTGTAGCTGCAAAAAGAAAGGACTTGCGGAATCAACTTGACCATGCAGTGATAAAATCAATCAAAGAGGCACCTGATTCAGTTGCTGAAATAGTTGACTCATGGAAAAAAGCTTATTCCAAAGAATATGTCAAATATCAAGACCAAGATGATAAAAATGGAGATGAAATAGAATTTGCAAACATTTATCATGCATTGATACATTCTCCAGCTCTTGACACACTTCTTCAACTTGAACACAGCTATTCTGTGGCAGTCAAAGATCTATGTGAGCAAAGAGACATGGCTTTGGAAAAGTTGCAGAAAAGGTGAGTCTACCTTACCTTTTTTGTTTTGATAAGAGTTATTATTTTTAAGTCGCAAGTAGTATTTGGAAAAGAACAGATTTCTTTCATTCTCTAAAATGCCAACTTTGAGTTGATTTCTTGAATCCTTTGCAAACAATGTATCTTTCATGAAGAGAAGGCAGATTTCAAAGAATGATTGCAAGCTGTGCTGCAAGGCAGTTTTTGAAATTCTTACCATTGGCTACATACAATACCTTTTATATTTTCCATGGGCCATAGCTCTCCTTCTTGAGGAGCTCAGCGACTGGCCTTGTAAGGGGCTTTGCCTGCAATATACTATGTAAATGAAATGACGTCATTTCTATGCTGGAGCCTAAAGAGCTCTTTCGGACAAATTTATAATTGCTCTGCCAAGGGGGCAAGTTGCTAATGAAACTATAACGGCTTGAGCATTTCTTTAGCATTATTGTTCATTTTAATGTCAAATACTTATCCACAATCAAACTACTTCGTTTTAAGGTGACAAGAACCATTGATAAGAGAGAGGGAGAAGGAAAAATTTGTTCCACCATTGATTTGAAATGCCTATCCAAAACCCCAAATATTTGCCACTATTACTTATATTTCTGTTGATTAAAAGGGTTTAAGTTCTGTAGCTTGTACCATCACCAACCATGAAAAGGTTTACCACCATTTTAACCTAACTTGGTGAAGGGATTTAGTTGTCATTTTACATGATTTCCAAAAAGAAATACATTACTCAAGCAAGCTCATTTCCCAAATGGGATTCATGTTTCTTGTCAACAAAGAAGGTTGGATAGATGATGAACTTCAGTTAGATTTGATAAAGACTGTTTGGGCAAATTTTGATGGTCTCTTTGATAGGCAATATAGTTTTTGTATTCCTTCAGAGGTTGATGGAAGCGAATTAAAAAAGGCTGAACAGGATGAACTTTTTACACTGTCCGTAGAGGAAGATTTTGGTGATTTTGAAGATTTTATACAAATGAAACTGTTTCATAAAGTCGATTAAAATAAGTCAGTTTATTCAATTAAAAGTTGGTTTGGTATGTAGTTTTGTTTATTTTAGCCTAATTTTGTTTATTTTTTCCTCGATTTATTCAGCAGCTTGTTAAGCTGTTTTCTTGTTTTGATAATGCGACCTTTCTAAATTAAGTACAATATTAAGCGTTAATTGAATCGTTGAATTAAATAAAAAATTAACCTCTTTTGCAGACTTGCATTAGCGTTAATGACTCGAAACGTCGTTATTTTAAATTCGCTTTTTTCCCTCTTACAATTTCATATTTTCAAGTTATATTTTCACATTATATTATATAACACGCAAGCGGAAGGGGCAGATTTTCTTGTATCCACTTATTTTGCCAGACTAGTGCCTTTTCAAAACTCTTTGACTTTAGAGCCAATAAGGTGTCTTTTCACGATTTTATGGAACGAATCATTACGATGTCCCTTTCATCGTATGCCTTTGGCAGTGTTTTTGCATGCTTGTCATGGAATCAGTCCTTTATTTTTAAAGTTTGCACGCAGGCTACTTTCTGCCGGTTTTTATGGTAATGTCAAATACTTTTTAGACATGAAACAGACATGGAATCGTTAATCAGGAGTATTGGAGTCTCTGCAACTGATGCTGATGTAAATAATCTTTCCAGTAGACAGTTGGAAGAACATCAGGTAAACCTTAGGGATGATTTTCGCTATTTGATACAATACTTAGGCATTGATCCAGAATGGACAGCTAAAATGCTCCTTGGGCATTTGCAGATATTATATTATATTTTATGTATTGCAATATTTGTTTTTGCTGGTTTACCAACACAAATAATGCAAGTTGTTACATAAGAAATATTCTGCATAAATTTACCAATATCCTGTCTAGGTCAATTTTGTTCTGCTGAGATAGCAAATTTCCTCGTTTTGGCATGATCTTTTACAATTGGGTTGCCAACTTTTAACCTATATGTCATGCACTTTTTATGTGTCCCTTTTCTACTTGGCTTCAAAGGCTTGGGTGTTAAAGTGTTAAGTCAAACTATTTTAATTAACAGATTCAAGAAACATATTGGTCAAGCACGTTATCAGACCTTCAAGAAATCCAAAAGAGAGAATATAGGGAATGGGTTACAACAGTTTATGAAAATATGGTATCAAAGGAAAATCTACATTCTAAAGAAATCTATGAAAATATTATCAGGCAGCCAATCGCGCCAGGGCAAGCAGATCGAAATATGGATTATCATATTGTCCAAGAAGATACTGTGAAGATGGAAGAAAGTTTCACTATTCATCTTGGTAATTGACGTCTTTTTGCTTCTTGATCTGCTCATTTATCCAAAAGAATCAATCGTCAGACTCTGCCTGACTTTTATCTTATCGCAATGAACAGAACTTGAAAAATTGATTTAATGTTTATCGATTAATTTCAAATAAGTAAATTAACCATTACAATCAGCATTGTTTTAACAAGTTTATAGCCATTAGAGTTGACTGCTACCTCCCCAGCCCCCACTCAATCAATGCTGGTGCTCCACACGGTTCTGTCATACCTCCTGTTTTATTCATTCTTTTCATGAATGATCTGCTAACCTCCACTGCTACAAGTAGTCATTCGTTTGCAGACGACACTATCTGAGCTCTTCATTTTCATTTGATTCTCCACATATTTGTACTATCATCACCCCCCTCCCCCTCCCCCCTTCAAAGAAACCTTTCAGCCTCACTTCATTGACGATCTTGCAAAAGTGGAAAACTTGGGGTAAAGCCAACTAGGCCAGTTTAATCAAACCAAAAACTTTCCTCCCATCTTCATGAATCAAGCCAAAAACTTTCCTCCCGTCTCCATCAATGGTACTGATTTAGAAAATTCTGCCTGTTTTTTCTAAACTAAATTGAAAATCTCACATTTCTTTTATCGCTAAACACTCCTCCCAAAAACTTGGATTCCTCTTTAGAGCACGTTTATTCTTCTCACCATCTCAACTCTTAACAGTTTACAAGTCCCAAACCCGTTCTTCCATGGAGTTCTGCTCCCATATTTCTCGTGGTTCTCCTAAATCTTCATTGGGCCTTCTGAACAAAGTCCAATCTGAATCCATTCGTCTCAAGAGATCAAAAATAAGATCCCATGTCCCGTGAGACATACTCAAAATACTAGACATGTTTCCAGTGCTCACTCTTTCTTTCGAGTACTAGACAAGTACTCTTTGCATAACGCACGAACTCAACCCCACAACTCTTCCTGCCTCAATAGATCTTGTAAACTTTACCCCCTTCCTGTTTCCCATGCTCTTACAACCTGTCTTTATTCAAAACGAAAATAAACAAACTTGATCTTCCTCTCTCGCGTCCTAATCCTTTCTCCCTTTTCTTTTTTAGGGCCTAGCTATAGGCCATGAGCCTTTCCCTAACATCATCAACTTAGAAAAAAATAGGGTTTTATTTGTGTCTTGTAAGTTAAATAACTTTGTTGAGTTAAAAACTTTGATCAATATTCCTGCAAGCAATTAAGGAATCATCATTACTAAAAAACATTTCTGTAAACGAGAATCGCAACGCCTTCGTCAGGTTTTCTGCTTAAATTAAGCTCTGCATGAAATCTTTCTAATATTTTCTGAGACATCATTTAATGGGTGATATTCATACATTTCTTGGTAAGACATGACATGAAGGAAGAAAATAAAAATTGGTTTCAAAATTCAGGCATACGTTGGCCTGCTATTAGATATTTTTCTGAATGTCAATGTTTGCTTCAACTTTGTTTCATTACTAAGTCAAAATTTGCCTTGCTTGACCGCTTTTAAATTAGTGCGATAAATTCTTTGCATGTTCAGTTCTGTTTCAGCACCGTTCAATATCTATGAATTTCATTCTGACAAGATTTATGCATAACAATATAACTTTTTTCAGGACATCAGATGAAGACCATGCACAATATCAGGATGATATGTGGTGATATTTTGAGCCTATGTCGCCATACAACTACTTTTGTTGGGTAATACCTAAGCATGCAATTTACTTTCGTGATGTTTTAAAATATGTTGCCTTTCAAAGTCACCACTTAGTCGGGCAAATGTTTTTCTTTGCTTTAATTAGCGTGTACAGTTCTGCCAATACGGTATTGAGCTTTTTATGGCAGATCGGTCAACAGTTATCTTCATTAAGATTTTAATAAATTTTTTTTCTGTATCTCTTACTCTTTCTACCTTTATTAATTGGGGTTTTAGCAGAAGTCCAATCAAGTGTTGCAAGAAGAAATGTATAGATAGGGTTGACACTAACATTGTATTGCACATGCTTCTTTGACATACCGTCAACGTAGGCTGATTGACATCTGGCTCAACCAGCACCATTCTTTTGTTATAACCTTTTAATTAAATTTCTAATAATCAATGCCAAGGATTAATTTTAATAATTAAAGTCAAAGAAATAGTTTTAATTAAAAATGTTTCAAAATACGCTGTGTATGTTACACGAAGCCTGAATGGTCATATTTTATTACTGTGTTGTTGCAGACGACTGCTGGCAGCAATTGCCGCAATTCACCACAACATTTTTTGCTTATCAAAACGCTTAAACGGCATTAGTGTATGCAAAGACTAGCAACAGGATATATCAAAACATAGCCTAATCCGTTGCGAGGAAGTTTCTATATACAAACAGATCTTGCTATGTACTTGCAATCCGTCTAAAATCAGCGAGTTGTTCTTCAATGAAAAGTATACATTTATTCGTAGAGGCAACCTCGTCCCGCAACCGCAAAGATTGCAAACAGCAATGTCTCTCTACTCCCAGTCGTTGTCAGCTTTGGTTTTGCTGGTTGACGACCGAATTCAGTCGCAAATAGGAATTAAAAAGGGCAAGTGGATTTTTGTCTCCTTATACATAAAGATCAATTAGAGACTTTTAAACGTTGTTATAGCTTTACAGCACAACATTGGTTGTTAAAGCACAAAATTTTAGTGTTCATGTCAATTTTCTTAAAAATCGTTTTAATTTTTTCAGTAGCCGGATATTCTTCCTTGCCTAAATAACCTATTTATCGATGCTTTCGTCATTCTTACTGTTATATTCAAAGCCTTTGCGATTGAAAAGAAACAATTCATCGTCCTTGAAAAGAAACTTGATATTTTCTGTTTAATTAAAAGTTCTTATGATTGCAGAGTTTCGAAAGCAATGTATGCAGTCAACAGAGTTCCACTTTACAGATTTTGAAAAGCAGTTATGCTCTATTGAAAATGTGTTGACCAAGAGACCGAACAGAACAAGAACTGTTCGAACAACTTCAGTACTGCAACGAGCTGGATTCGACCAATCAGCTTCGTCGCCAGCTACTACTACGAACCTTCTTCAAACAGGTGATTTCTTTGGTTCATTTTCTCTATATGATTGAGGGTAAGGGTGAGCTTCTTTTTGAGAATGAATCCTTTGAGTGAATTTAAGATGGGTGACATACCCGTGTTATTAAATGCTAGAAATTTCAGCACCATCAAATAAGCACCAACTTTTTATCAGGGGACCCTTATAGCTTGAAATTTGTAGTTGAAACTAGAATTCTTATTTTTTAAAAATTACGTACAAAATCTATGTTTTTTACGTAAGTTCGTAACAGCGGGAGTTTTTATGCAGCTTGTTCGTATCTTGTCTTGTCTTGTCTTGTCTTGTCTTTTCTTGTCTTGTCTTGTCTTGTCTTGTCTTGTCTTGTCTTGTCTTGTCTTGTCTTGTCTTGTCTTGTCTCGTCTCGTCTCGTCTCGTCTCGTCTCGTCTCGTCTCGTCTCGTCTCGTCTCGTCTCGTCTTGTCTTGTCTTGTATTATCTTGTCTTGTTTTTTCTTGTCTATTCTTGTCTATTCGTGTCTATTCTTGTCTTGTCTTGTCTCATTCAAATCAAAATGCCTGGAAGACGTTAGCTGCCTTTATTTTCTCTAGGTGACTTCTACGTCACGAGGCATTCAAACCTTGCGCAAGTGCACGTCGTTTTTCATCTGGTAACGGACGAGTCAGTCGTGAACACGAATATCACTTCAAGGCATCCCATCGTTATTGGCCTACGGAATATACTGCTTTCGGCGGCAACGCACAATATTACAACTTTGACTATACCACTGCTGCTGGTGCATGAGATGACGGAGGTATGCTACCTGGTTTTGAATGAAAGATCATAGTAATATAGTGGATTGTTTCATTGCATTTTAAGGCCTGCGAGGATAGCGTAGATTGCAGTAGAAGAGTAAGAGTAAGGGGCCAACTAAAATTAAGGCTGGGGCCATGTTGTTTTTCATTCCTAAAATAAACTTACATTTGCAAGAAAGCATTTTAAACAAATTTTGGATACACTAACCATCTGTGATTTCTATGCCCATTTCTTATCTGAATGAAATGAACTTGATCCTGACACTAGACCTCCACAGTTTGTCGCTGTTTTTAAGAAGAAGCTTTTATCAATAATCAGAGTGCCGTAAAACTTTCTTTGGCATTCATGACCAAACAGTACTACTCTATCTCACTCGACTCAAGTTTGGTCTCTCCAAATTAGATTTTCACAAATTCAAGCACAATTTTCGGAATACCATGTATGCCCTACAAAAATTGGTATCGATGATACAGAACACTTTTTGCTGTTATCCCATTCCCTCACAGTACCACGTAGAGATCCTCTTGCTTGAGTTTTTGCCTTATTGCGACCAATTGGATATACAAATCTTCAAAATCATGTTCGAAGGTAGAATTTATTTTATGGTGATAAAAATTTCCCGACGAACTAACTAAAATATGCTCCTGCTCACTCCACAAATCTGGTTGATTTGATAAGAAAATTTAATACTCCGTTATAAACCAAATTCGACCACCATGTCTTATTTAACTAAAGGTGGCTTACTTTTCTATGCCTTTGTTTTGTTTTCTTTTAGTCGTATGTTTAATGTCAAGAGTTTTGATTTTAATCTCTATTTTCAAATGACCCCCGAGTAGACACAGCCTTCTGCGCCTCGGGGTATCTCCCCAGGAGTATCGTAAAGTTGTATAGTAATTTGAAAAGTAGCATAGCTTATACATTTTTTTATAAGCTTTTACTGCATATAAAGAATCTGTAATGTATCTTTCGAATGCAAAAAGCTGCATCAAGCTACAAAGGCACCTTTTCGGCAATACACACTCACTATCAATTAGTGAAGAATTATGCACTTGTCCAGAAGCGGAATAACTAGAAATAGCTTCATTATTAAAATATTTTCATTAGAGAGAGTTTACTCTCATGAATTTCTGTATTTTCAGCCCTATGAAATATTTCCAACTACTTGATAAAAATTGAATTAAAGATGATGTTTCTCTTTCTATCTAGAGTGCAAATTATATTAAAATAATTCATGGATAAATTGAATATGCAGTGATATTGCATAATTTTTGCTGTTTTACAGAACATCACAATTCAATGGTGCATGAAACGAGCGGAGCTTATTCTCAAGTGTGTCAAAGGTAGGGAAGTTCTCGTATTGAAGTTTTGAAGTTTTGAGATCCTGTTAAAAAGATGGAAATCTGTTTGTTTCTTATTTCCAGTTGTGTCCATTTGTCGTTTCTCGTCTTCGATATGATATGCATGTGCTGGTGTACATCTGTTTGGCTCTTTGATAAAGGGATTTGGTTGCTGGTTGCCTTTTGAGCTCTTACCTTGCATTTTAAGCCTATTAAAAGTCGTTTATCAATTATAGATTGAATATAGAGCTCATGATCGCATGATCTTTAATTAAAGCCGAATTAGTAAAGGATTTTCCTATCTAATAGGCCACCGCTAGTTGTTTGTTGCTCCGAGCATTTTTAATTTGAAACATTAAAAATTGGGAATTCCACAGGAAAAATTTGGAATTCCAAATTGAAAAATGGGAATTTGTGATGCTTAGGGGCCCAGGTGGAAATTACCTTTCCAAACCGATGTCAGTTGTGCTATCAAAGTATCACTTCAAACAATGATTTGTAGTAGACCAGAATAACCAAAGCTAATTGGCAAAAGGTATATACAATACCTGCCAAAAGTACTTGGAACACCCACCAATTTACGCTACATTTGATATCTTTCATTCCTTTCATGAAAAAAATTTGCTACTTCCGCCCCCTTCCCCCTCAAACAATGTTGAAGATTTAGAGAAATATCATAAAAGAAGCGCAAAAGAAAGTGCTTCCTAAAATCCTAATCTGTTTGATAGTAAACCAACATTGTTCCGTGGGGGAGAGGGGGATGATTGGTTTTGACCTTGGAAATTGATGTCAGTGTTCCAAGACTTTTGGCAGGCATTGTAGCTATCTTAAAAGCTATTGAAGTTGATCAAGCTTTTGGGAGCTTTCACTAGCTGCGTCAATGCTGGCATGAAACTTTTTTTGTGTAAGAAATATTTTTCACGACATTTATCAGCATTGAAAGCCTCACAGGAATGCTGTCACCATTGGTCTTTGTGAGTTGCATTGAGCAAGTGACATTGACCAAGCATGACGCGTTTTTCAATTTTGTTGATGATTTTACAGCAATACCATTTTAGAAGACGAATGAACAGTGGTGCATTGTGTGTCTTTGTGTGTTTGTATGTCAGCGCAGTAGTTTGTCTGTTTGTGCAGTACAAAGGCCCGTCTTGATAATCTTTTTGCTTAGAAAACCTCTTTCGCAAATTACTCGAGAGACTTATAGCATGATTGCCATTTTGTGAATCTGATACAGGCTCCTATCTGCTGCTTTATTGATGCTGTATCTGTAAGAAAATCCTGTAAACACATTCTAGGGTATTTTGCACATTGTATCTTTTCAAAATTGCATTTTCTGCCATGGGAGCTCTACGAGAAACCTTTTCAGAACCTTTGTTGTCATTATTCATTGTCACTTTTTATTGTAGTCATAATTCAGCATCCCAGGAAACCGCTTGTTTCGAAGCAACTTTGTTGAGCCGAAGAAACTAGAAAACTCTGGTTACCCCCATCCAGGGAACACATTTTATACAATTTCAGAATTCACGGTGTATAGTTCACGGTGAATAGTTAAAGGGAATATTTAGGGATTTCTGTGACCAGTAACGCTTTTCTACTCTTTATCAACGCTTTTCTACTCTTTCTACTTTGCAAACAGTGATGTTAAAGGCTGTCAGGCTTCCCGTTAGTATTGAAGCAAATTTCGGTCTTTGCTTTATAACGTATTGCATGTTATTCTTCGAGGCTTCATGATGGAAGGGCTCTGCTGGGACGGAGACGATTCAAGAACAATTCAATTCATCGTGCCAGAGGTACTTTAAATTGTATTGAGCAACCATTATTCGCGTGATTGTTGTCGTTTTTGTGTTGAGTTACCTATTTTGCATCGGATATTATCAATGAATTTGAGAAATACATCCAAAGCAATGAACCATGAATTGGAAACTATGAAAGAAACAAATGTGGATCTTGCAGAAACATCAAAAAATTTATTAGTAAACAGTGAAATTTTGTTACTTGTCTATCAATGAAAGGAGATTGAAGCTTGGCTGCCCAAAATCCATTAACATTATGATTTGGAGTATCTGTTTTCTGTTTGCGATTTAAAGGGTTCTTTTTCTGTGTATGATTAATCGATTCGCTGTTCGTCACTTAAAGGACCTGCTTTCTGTGTGTGATTTGAAAAATTAAATTTTTGCAAAGGGGTTAA